AGCAGATAGATGACCCTTAAGCGTGTGACCCTATAGGTTCGGTGAAGTACAGACATGACCCGGAACCCCTTCCGATCAATGATCAACATCGGAGCCGTGGACACCCATATTGACCCCTATACCCACACAAATGAATATTCGAGTGAACCTCCCGTTGCAGTGTATTCCTTTTGTTTCACGATATGTCACAAACACCCGAGGTGAGATTTATTGCATTCCTGTGGATCAACAATTTTTCCACCATGCAAGTTACCTCGTTACCGGTTTTGTTCTCTTTTCTCGTTTCCATGTTCCGGCATCCCAGTGATCAAATCACAATGTGTCTGGCCAGACGATGATGGATACCGTTACACCGAGAGGGCCCGAGTATATCTCTCCATCGTCGGAGGAGCAAATCCCAATCTTGAGCTATCTTGTTACTAGCCATACTTTTCCGTGAACCCGTAAGCCGCCGTAATAGCCACCCAGTTACGGATGACGTTTAACAAACCCCAAAGTTCACGAAGCAAGTATGAAGGAACTCGGTACTCTCATGGTCTAAGGAATTATGCAAACATTAACTTTTCTGTGTTATTAACCATTAACTTGTGACGAATGTATCTCATAGCATAACATCAAAATGGGTCGATTCAACACAAATGTTCTACCAACATCGTGCCCTCATAATTGCCAGCATAGACATGCCCATGATCAGGAAAACATGATCATCATGCAATACATGAGCCAGTCTTAGAGGCAAGACTAGGAATACATTTTACCGTTTAGTATACCACACGTGCACATGAGTTTTCCTCCGAGCCTCGTGGATATTGCAGACTCAAGAATCATTGCAGTTATAGCATGGAAGCTAAACATTCATTACAAACTTTGGAGATACAAAATAACTGATATTACTGCCTCTAGGGCATATATCCTACAACAATAGCATGGATGAAGCGGAACTTAGAGCGACACTTTGCGGGGCTATACATTGGTATAACTCTCCACAAACCCACCATTGAAGAAACTGATTGCTCTTTAGTGGCTTTTTTTCTTGCCAATGATCTTCTAGACAGGTCTCCTCTAGCTGATCTAAAGATAGAAGCATTAAGTTCATCCAAGTAGATATGATAAATTGCAAGATATCCAAGATTAACAGAAGGGCTAATAGGGTGGCGCATGAGATTGGGAAGTTCAGCTTTGATAATAGGTTCGATGGTGTGCTTCTTCCGCCCTGCGTGGCTAAATTCATAACGGATGATTGTATGAATATTTTAATTTAATTAATATATGGGATGGGTTTTCAAAAAACATAGAAGAACATCCTTCCACTCCTAGCCCGGCCTCAGCCATTGAGTCTGGGCCGGCCGGCCCACACAACATCTAGTACTTGCCTTTGAAGACCCTCTTCAAAGAGTACCATACTAACCTGATGGCTGACTCTTATTACCATGATTTCTTATTACCATCTAATCGAGCTACAAGCAAGATGCATGCCACTATAATAGCATGATGAGCCGGCCCACTCATCATCCAAAGAATAACAAACATCATGTAAAAACAACAAGAACCTCTATGTGCAGAGACGTTGATGGGAGATATTTGAGATCGTCAGTCGTTGTGCATGCTAAGATCGTACCCTGGAATTCAATGCTGGACCTCAACCTCAACCTACGCGAGGATCAGTGGCACTAGACGTGTCAAATGTGGTTCATGAGCAGCCTCAGTAAGTTCTCTCCTTAATCTGGAAGATAGGTGGACAATGTTTCAAGAGGTGAGAACAACGTAGCAGTTATACTAGACTTAGAGGAAACCAATTTCTTATAATCGGTTTGAGGAGGATAAATTCATGTTTTCTCGTGTAATGTGCACCTAACCGAAACGTTATAACACTACACGACAGCGGCATCCGCGACTCTTAAGTTTACTTGGCCGGCCATCCTCGGAGTAACAATCCCCCAATAGCCCTCCTCTCCAGCGTTTCCATTCCGCCGTCACCCAACACCCCCCTCCCGGCGCACCCTCACCCACGCCCCCCCACACACTCTACCACCGTCCCACCGCCAAAATGGCTGGATCCCACTGCCACCACTCTCGGCTTCTGATCAGAAGCGCGGATCCACGCCGCCATGGGCCGCCCTGAGTCTATGGTTGCAGTGGAGCGTCCTCCTCCCGCGGCGATGCTTCCTGCTTCCTTGATCTCCCATTGACACCACCACCGCAGAGGAAATACTTGGCGTGAGGCAGCGGGCCTGGGGACGTGGGTAGAGGAGATCACCGACCGTGAAACACGCGAGAAGATTTGGATTGAATCTTCCCAATTGGCGGTGCTGGCCACGTGTGAATATGCCATAAGATTGGTATGCCTCCACGGCGCCAACGCCCAACACAGCTTCGACAATGGCCTGCCACAGTTGATGCCCGTTGACCCTCGGGTCGCTACCGTATGGGAGACGTGGGAAGATCGGAGGCATGTGAGCGCGTCGAGATGGAGCATGTCGACGAGGCATATATGGCGGAGCTCCGCCACCTATACCAGGAGCATGGCAAGCAGGAGCATTGGTTGTATGAGCTATACAAGTCCGGGGCAGCAGTGGTCATCGATCTTTGCTCCAGCGATGACGACGGAGATGGCGATGGCGGTGGTGGTGGCGACGGAGTGTGTCAGGCAGTGTTGGCGGAGCGGGCGAGGATGCCATGATCGAATCAGACCGGGAGAGGTTGATGAAGAGAGAGCTAGTGAGTAGTATTTTTATTTTTTATGCAAGCTAATTCCAATTTCTTTAAGTTATGTAATATAGTTTATGCAACTAGTTGAATCAAATTCGAATCAAGTTTGATGTAGTTGTTTGAATCAAATTTGCACCAAATTTGCGTTCAGTTTTTTTAAGGAGTTCAGTTTAGGACTTTGGTTAGAAGCGACACCTTTTTAGAGGAGCGAATATACTCCACTAAAGGATGCTCGTCCATTTGTGAATTATAGGGAATCGGTTAGCGATTCTCTTACAGGTTCTTTTGTAAGAGATTGACATGTCCTCTTCCCCACTAATCTCCCTCCCCCTGATTTTAACTATACCCCTTTCTCCCTAATGATAGTCTTCATTCTACTTTTTTGTGAGGGAAAACTCTGCTGAGTTTTATACATCAAATGGAATGTTGATATGACAACTTACAATAACAAGGAATACCAAGCCCAACAAAGCGTCCAACACCAAGTTCTAGAACATACTTAATTTGCTAATCTATCTGAATCATGATTACCTCTTCTCTCTGCATGCACAATGGTAAATTACACCTGCTCGCTCTGTGACCTCCAATATAATAATCGCATGGGTTCCTCCTGCTGTTTCATGCACAACGCCGACTCTAAAGGGGAATCATTTTCAAACACTAATTAAGATTATTCTTAACACTAAGTAGCACACAATCAAGCGAGCAGTGCCTTCCATCGGTTTTCTTAAATTTGTTTTTAGTTTTTTAACAACTATGCACATAGTTTTTTAGTTCCTTTTTGCTTTAAAAAATTATGATATTTTTTAAAATTCACGATCACTTCTTAATCACAGATTTAAAAAAAAAAACCTGCGAACATTTTTTTTGTAATACATCTACATTTAAATCTTGAGAACATCTCTTTAAATCTGTGCAACTTTTCTGAATTTATGAATATTTTAAACATTCTTGAACGATCCACCAGACCTAACGTCATGCTACTTCCCATGAAGAAACCGACGTAAATTCAATTTCTTGACGACCATACATTAAAATGGACGGGTTCAAAGGATCTATGCATATGGATGTACGTTACTAACAACTTAAGATTTCTTCACGACCTAATCATCACACACCGCCGATCGATGTGCGGCGCCGACGTTGAGGACCAAGTGTAGCACACGATCACTCGTAGTAAGATTCAAGGAATGTGTCTGCGCGTACATAAATATATCTCTGGATTGGCCCTCAAGCCATTGCATGGCTGCACGGCCAGGCACATTTGCACGCTAGCTGCTTCATTCACTAATCAGGGTGGCCTTCTGACGTAAGAATGAATCAACCGCATGTGAAGACTATATAAACAAACGATGATGAGATTATGAGCACCACATCACCACACAACCATCACCCACAAATCAATATAGACAGTACTCATCGGCTTGCGCGCTCCAGTACTCATCACTGATCTGCTACATATATCATAGCTGTGAAGTTTCGAGGGCACACAGCCATAGATATGGCTCCAGCTCGAGTTGTTGTGGTGCTGCTGCTGGCGGTCAGCTGTGCGCTGCTGTCTGTGGCTGCGGACACCACAAATACTCCATCCCCACAACCGTTTGTATGGCAGAAGGCGCATGCGACGTTTCTACGGCGGCGCTGACGCCTCCGACACAATGGGTAATCATTCAAGTCACACAACTACATATATCTTGTGTGTGCATGCCCGCTTCATCTTGTTCTTCTGTCTATTAAACCTTGCGATGGATATTATATATTACAGGTGGCGCATGCGGGTATGGCAACCTCTTCTCTGAAGGATACGGGACACGCACGGCGGCTTTGAGCACCGTGCTATTCAACAACGGCGCCGCGTGCGGGCAGTGTTACAAGATCGCATGTGATCGCAAGCGCGCGGACCCGTTGTTTTGTAAGCCGGGCGTGACAGTGACCGTGACGGCCACTAACTTTTGCCCACCGAACGACGCCCTCCCCAATGATAATGGTGGCTGGTGCAACACGCCAAGGCCGCACTTCGACATGGCCCAGCCGGCCTGGGAGAAAATCGGTGTTTATAAAGGTGGCATCATCCCCGTAATGTACTAGAGGTATATATGCGCCTCTTATAAGTTCATAAATTAGTCCAATGTCACCGGAGCCACATAACATCAACTCGTTCTATGCCACTGCCATAAACAACCAGGGTTCCGTGCGTGAAGCGGGGCGGCGTGAGGTTCAAAATCAACGGTCAGGATTACTTCAATCTTGTGCTTGTGAGCAATGTTGCTGCAACAGGCTCCATCGAGTCCATGGATGTCAAGAGCAATGATTCTGAAGACTGGATGCCTATGGCACGAAATTGGGGTGCTAACTGGCACTCGTTGGCGAACCTTAGCGGAAAGATGCTCTCCTTCAGACTAACCAACACTGATGGACACACGCTTGTGTTCAACGACATTGTGCCAAAGGGGTGGACCTTTGGGCAATCATTTGTTAGCAAATTGCAATTCTAGCAAGCAATGTGTGCCGACCAATTAATTTACCAGGGCAAGGTATTGATTTGTAATAATTAATTGCATAAAGTGCAAGTTATGGTGCTTAATGTGTGTGTGCTGCTTGTAGCACTGATCTAATTTTAAAATTCAGTTTCTTCATATTCACTGTGTAGTTCGTATGGTGTATAAAAGATCCAGTTCATTCTGTCGATTGAGTATTCTACAAATTTACTTATATAATGCATTCTGTAAATAGATTATGTCAGTTTTTTTCAATTTATGGTAAGCCGCTAACATATAAGCATAGAAAAATATCCATGAAAAAACCCAAATTATGCATTCCTGTTGAACATGTATAGTTTTAGTAGAACTATTTCAAGAGGAAGGGATTTGAACAGAAGTGGTCGGGAGAAAGAAAGTGGTCACTTATCTTTGCTAGTTGAAAAGAAGTAACATTTGAATATGTAAAGTATATATAGATATACAATTTCTCTGGCCAGGTCATTTTTGAACCTATTTTCTTTTAATTTTAGTTTGACCCTTCTCTTTGAAGAGAAGAACTTTGTAAGTATCAGTTCTTATTCATATGCAAAAAAAGGAAAAAAGAAAAAGAAAAATCAGTTCTTATAACTGATCGATGGAGCTAACTGCATGCAAGTCTTCAAATATGTTTACGCGCTGCTTTATAGATAAAGCATAAACAAAAGTATTTGAAGAATCTCAAAATTATCAAAGCGTTCTAGGATAATCTCAAATTAATTGGAAACAGTCGTATTTAGAGAATTAGGAAACCTTGGTCGAAGCGATGGTTTTATTATCATGGAATCCCTCCTCGATATGCAAATAAGTTTGCTTTCACACTCCATGGGGGATTGTGTCGCAAAGAGTTGTCTATAAGAATGAAGAACTCAGTCTGTCTATCCATCAACAGAAAAACGCACTACAGAATTCAGAATCAGCATGTAGCTAGTATGCTCATCTCATGTACGCAAAACATAGATCTGGCATGCATATGCGTGTTCAGTAATTGTCCATCTTCACATAGGTGCCAATCGCGTCAAGGAATTGGCCGGATCGCGCGTGGAAGCCGATGATCTTGCCACCGGGGCCGGCGTGGAGTGCGAATGACACGCCGTCCTCTTTCCCATACGGCCCGTAGCTGCGAAGGTTGCTGACAAACTTCAGCGATCTTACGACGACAAAGCCCTTGAATTGGCCATAGTGGCCATGGACGCTCGTCAGGTACTCGTCCTGCTGCAGACTGAACTGCACGTCCAAAAACAAAAAGGTAGTAACAGAGAGACCAACACTAGTGTCGACTCTCGAGATAGTGGAAATCAATGGCGACGGGATACCTACCGGGGAGGGCTTGCCGCCTTCGCCACCCCACCTGTCGGTCCACACCTCCTTGCCCTTCCACTCGTACATGACGGAAATGGTGTCCATGGCGTTTCCGTGCCGGAGGATGACCTGGACGATTCGGTTGACGTCCGACATGCCCGTCTCCCTGATGTTGCCACCGCTGCCGCCGCAAGGACCCATCCTCACCAACGATCCCTGCATGCATACGTACGTACCGTTATTAGAATCACCCAGATCAAATTCCCCACGCTTTTGGCCCGCGTCTTACCATTGATCCCTTGCCACTACCGGGGATCTTCTTCTTCCCGACGTCATCACCGGTGATGGTGACGGTGACGCTGGCCCGCGAGGACGACAGAACCTTGGGCAAAACAAGCTCGTAGCTGCAGTCACCCGGGGGACCTTGCTGCAGGAGCACGGCGGTTGAGGATGATCCGGCGCAGGTCTTCTGGTGCTCCGCCTTCTCGTGGTAGAGCATCTTCGTGGCGGCGCAGCCGTGTGGGCAGGCGACACGGACCGATCGGAGGACGCGCTCCAGGGCGAAGCAGCGGCCGTAGCTTGTGGGGATGAAGCAGCGGCTGAAGCCGGAGTTGACGAAGCACGAAATGCACTTGTCCTTGTCCGGGAGGTCGCCGTGGCAGGTCGAGCACACGACATGGCCGGCCGCGCACTGTGCGTACGTGACAAAATTGTGCAAGTTAGAAAAGAACGACCAAGTAGGTCGAGAAACGCTGCAAAGAACGGCAACATATGTGTGTACCTGGAACACCGGAGGTTCGAGGGGACGAAGACATCTTGGGCAATTCAGAGCCTCCGGATCGACGTCCACGGTGATCATCGTCTCCGAAGTGGCGTTCTTCTCCATCGATCAGCTTGTTTGATCTTGCAGTGGAGTAGCACCTTGCGTACTTGTGGGCGAGCTTATGGGATGAACGTTAATTAGGGGGTGGAGGCCGATCGAATATGTATTGATGGTGATGTGGGTCGAAGATGGAGAGGCATTAATTAAGATGGAGAGGCTTCTTTCGTCTTCCACGTGCGACATTAATTAGTGCTGCATGCATGGCATTATATTGGCAGCAGCACTTCCACCAAATTAAAGACGCCGCGGTAATAATTTGTTTTCTTCCTCGATCGATTCCAGATCCAGAAATAAATACAAGGGACGTGGGAGGTGAGGTCGTGGTTGAGAATGATCTCTGGCTAGCTAGGTACAGCCAGAAGAGACCCATCGCACGACTGAGAATGAAACAACTTCAAACATCCATCCATCCATGGATGCCAAACATTTTCTTTTTACTTCATTTCTTTCTTTCGAGACGACGCGGCCGCCCGTCGGGGGATGATCCTCAGCATATCGTCGCCGTTCGCCACCATCCAGCGACCCTATCGGACCCAAGGTTGGCATGCCAATCATGCTCACGCCTTGCACGCGACAAGACAACCTTTACAGCCGGTCGTCTCCCTCAGATGCTTCTTTTCTTTTCTGCACCAAGAACAAACAGTGTGACCTCTCTCAAAACACAAACACAAGGAAACCGCTTAATTTCCTACCCTGAGCGCACCAACACATGACAACAAAATCCAAGCATCGTTCCTCTATAACACTAAGCACTCTAGTTTAAAAGAGCCCACATTCAATTGGGGTCTTCAATTGGAATTCGGCCATCTAATTTTGATCGGGTCAAACATTTCTCAAAGATTTTTCATTCAATTCTTTTATACTATATTCGTTGCTTCCTAATTTGTAAGGCCTCACAATTAATTAAGAGTTAATTGCTGTTTTAGTACATAAACTTGCAGCGGCGGTACAATTTGATACAAAAACTTGCAAGGTGACTCAACCTAGCCCCTAAACTTGATATGCGGGAACAAATTGATACAATTTAGCCCGAAACCTGCCACGTCGGATGGGAGGCGCGCACAGGTAGGTGCGGTATTATCCAAAAAAAAAAACGAACATAGGAGGAAACAAACCCGCGGTCCTCAGAGGGAGCTGCTAGTAGGAACATAAAAACGGACCCTGAGGTTATGCCAATTTTTCGGTTGTACCGCAAACCCAGCACAAACACCTTCGTCTGTTCGTGTTCCCCTGTTCATTTCTATTGGCCTCTTCGCCTGTTCGTCTCTGCGACTGGTTTATTTCATAACTAAATAACCTAGCTCCGAGTTAAATAAATTATATATGTAAATGGAGTAGAAAAACATGTAGAATAACATGGTGCACTTACTTTGCATGTTTAACAAAAAAAATTGTGTTTTAGGTACAACAGTGGCAAATTTGAAAAATTGTATATGGGGATTTTCCGGAATTGTTATGTGTTGTTTCTAGCCTCATTTAAACTTGCCTAGATAGGTAGGTTAAATGTGCTTCACCTCTTGCCATGAATAACAACATTCAGTATTAATGAGTAGCATAAACGGGGGTGAACTAAATAATTGAACGTGGAGTTTCGTCAAAATATGCAACTCGTTGCATATTGAGCTTCACTTAATGTGTAGTGTTTGGTTGTTGCATCTCGTCATGTCATGCTCATTAAATCGGACATGCATCATACTTTATTGTGCGTCATGCCATGGTTATGTTATGTTTGTTTACCATATTGTTTGCTTCTTTTCGGTTGTGCTTCCTCTCAATAGTTCCAGGTAACGTTGCAAGTGTGAGGATTTGTTCGACCATGCTTGTTCGACTACTTCACGGATTCAATCTTCTTTCAAGCGGGATTCCAGAAAAGATGATCTTTACCTCGGATATCACTATTATCTTTGCTTATTAGTTATCTCATTGCTATTGATTGGTCTTGCTACCTACCACTTGTTTGTCAGCCTCCCAATTCAATACACCCTCCGCTCCACACTGTAGTGCATATATATTTTTTGAAAAGTCAAACTTTATAAACTTTGACCAAGTTTATAGGGAGAAACATATACATATAGAATAACAAAAATATGTCCTTAGATACATCACAAGACATACTTTCATATTGTATATATTTGATAGTGGGGATGTAAGTAGTTTCTCCATGAACTTGGTTAAAATTTGTATAGTTTGACTTTTCAGAAAATCCATATGCACTATAATATGGAACGGAGGGAGTATATGGTATGTTGTAACGATATCCACCTTGCGAAACGTCTTTGATATGTGCTTCTATCCTTGGCAGGACTTCCAAGTTCCTTGAGAATAGGACCGCATATTGGACGTTACATGTAAGGACCAGCGCCCCAGGGCAGTAGTCGTCGACATTGAACCCTTAAATTTATTGGAGGCCTGGACACCAAATCCTAACATTGTGCATGCACGGCGAGTTACCCTAACATTGCCGCACCAAGGAAATGGTAAGGAATCTCTGTTGGAGCTCCATCGACTCCATACGAATTGACGAACTTGAGGAGGTTCATAGCTAGAAAGACAAGCTCAAAGATGAAGTGTCGTCCTCTAACTGAATATCGCCCCGCGAGAAAAAAAAATCATAACCTAAACTAAAAAACCAAAACAGTAACCTAACCTATTACCTGGAGCCTAGACATCAGGATCCCACTCCCAGCCATCGGCCGGCTGAAACTTCATAAATTTTGAACCAATTAACAAAACTAACCAACCCAAGAAGCAAAATTGAACTTTGTCCAACATCCAGGATGCCAAAATAGATCTC